TGTGTGTGTGTGTGTGTGTGTGTGTGTGTGTGTGTGTGTGTGTGTGTGTGTGTGTTAGTAAATTTATTTTTTCAAGCAATACACAAGTACTATAATTAATAAAAACAAACTAATTATTTTAAAGAAATTAAGCTTGACCAAAAATATTGATACAAGTTTAGGCTTTGGATGGAAGTGCAAGTTGTGTTTCTACTGGTCAGTGCTTTTATTATTTAATGTTATGGTAATTTCACAGCTACTTAAACTGCTTTAATAACTAGACCTAATTGGATATATATAAAATGGAGGTTTCTGATCAATAATATTAAACAATATCTGGTTTTTATTTCTTTTACATTTTTCAATAGATTCTTTATATGACAGTTTCCATGAATGGACAAGAAAACGAGTATACTGTTTTACTAAAAAAAACTATTGGATACATTTACACAAATTTAGGTGCACAGTAAAAAAATAAAACTAAGACTAAAGGAAATAACTCTTATTAAAAACAGCAAAAAAACTTACAACCTAAAATATGATATAAATACTAAACCAAATTACATAATTTGTTTCAAGCATAAACTATTTATATAGAAAATGTGTACCAAATTTATGCAATTAGGTTAAGCATTTTAAATGTGAGAAAAAAAAGCACAACCCATTGTCACACTATCAGTCTAGAAAGGGTTAACTGACTTTCTCAAGCATCTTTGTCTCAAACTTTCAAATACTTTTCCCATCACTGATGCAATACTAACAGGCCTATAATTACTGGGACAATTTTTATCATCTCCTTGAAGAGTAACATTAGCCAATTTCCAATCTTTTGGCACCTGCTTTCTATTCAAGAACTTACAAAAAAAGTAGTAGCAAGTGGCTCACATATCCCATACTTAGCCTCCTCCTAAACCTTTAGGTAAATATAATGTGGCCCAGAAACCTTATTATCTAAATCTCCCAATTTTTTTATTTAACAAGCCTAGAATTAACTAAGTTTACAGGCTTAGTTCATTGGGTACTCGCTTGTATGGCAAATGATACACAGTTCAACAATACTTATGATAGCTCTGAGCTTTCTTAACCTACCTTCACAACAACTGGTAAGATTTTGTTGAAGATTACAAGTATTTTGTAAACAAAGAACGAAATTATTTTCATTAAGTATGTTAACTAAAGATTTATCTTTGTAGTTATTTGCACTCATATACTGAATATTTTGAGTATTATCATCAATGTATATAGTGCAATGAAATGCTTAAAATTAAGAACTAGAAAATATGTACATACCTTTTAATTTTTTGTCAAATAATCTTAAAAGATCTTTTTGTTATATTCTTAATTGCAAGTCTTTACATTTTCACATAGTTTATTTTAAATGTTTTATTATTATTATGTTAATGGGCATTCTAATACAAAATTACAGTATCATTGGCAGAGATACTTCAGCCTTCGGCAGAATGTTTTTGTATTTGCATACTACACTAAGCCTCATGAACCAAGGCAAAGTTTGGGTATATATATATATTCTTAAAAAATTATTCAACCTCTCTAATATGCATTTTAAAACATAAATAAACACAATTAACTAAAATATAAAACAAAAACTAGATGCAATTTTACAATCTAACAAACATATTTCTAGGTAACAAACAATGCTAAATACCAGCAAGGACACAAGTGTCATCAATACTTTGAAATAATTTGAAAATTGTAGTTTAAAATGAGCTCTTTCCACTAGTTATATACATCTACAGAAATAAATAGTGTTGAGTTCAAAATCGTATGACTTTATGTAGAATGTGGGCATGGCTTCTGTCAAGAGTTCCCAAGATATATTTTTCCTTTCTCGGACCTTGCTCTAAGGAATTTGAAAGAAGGCTATGTAAACAGAGCAATTAGCCTACTTTCCATCTAGACATAGACATCTACTGTATGTGAAGATTGTTTGTTTCTGAATTTCACGCAAAGCTGCACGAGGGCTATCTACGTTAGCCATCCCTAATTCAGCTAGTCTTCACCACCCACCGCCAACCCTTGGGCTACTCTTTTACCAACGAATAGTGGAATTGACCCTCACATTATAACACCCCCAAAGCTGAAAGGGCAAGCATGTTTGGTGGGATGGGGATTCGAACCCGCGACTCGAGCACCCTAACCACCTGGCCATGTCGGGCATATGTGAAGAATCACTTAATCCTTTCCAGACGTGTTACAGGTCAAAGGCCATATCAGTGTGTTTGTTGACTCACATTCCAAATTTTATTGAAATACTATTTCATGAATTTATGTCAATAAGTTTGTTATCAAACTGCAGATTATAATTCAAATTTTAGTATTATATACATTATTAAATTTTCTTAATTTAAAAGTAATTATTAAAAAAACACAGTTGAACATTGATTTTTGTGCATCATGTGGTAATGTTGAATGCAGCACAGGTTCAAATTTGATGTTTCTAATGTCAAAATATTAAGTCTATAGTTTTGTACAACTTAGGAACTCAAATTACCAATATTGACAAGCTGGAATATAAAATAAGAACCTCATATTTTTTCTGTTTTTGAGATATCGCTCATGTATTGAATCAAACAGTGGCCCTACTCACCTCTTTCCATTGTTGGAAATGATCCCTTGTATACACCGACTTCAATATATGACATGTGAATAATCAGTCAAATGCTCAGAATGACCCCCTAGTGGCTTTCTCAGCCATTTTAACATATTAGGACACCATCTCATTCTTTCAAACCAAGATTTCAAGGATGCAGGTTGTGTCTTTAGTCTGCTCAAAATTTCATTCTTGTTTTAGACCAAAATACACCTTAGTTACTAAGCTTAATAAATTATAGTGGAATTCTATGGTACTGATGTAGTAATTTATGATTTTTTAGTTATTCAACTGTATATATAAAACCTAAAAAAAAGATTTCGTTTCACATCCTCCATGTGCAAAATTTTAAAAAGCTCAGCAACCTACATTAAGCATCAACCGAGTACAAAGGTCATAACTAGAAGAGATAATTGTTTGCTTTACTTCTATATTTAATGTTCTATCTTTTAAGAAAAATAAGTTTAAGAACTTATTTCTAAATAGCAATAGTATATATATGATTGAAATGTGACTATTTTACAAAATACTAGTCTACTAGAACACAGCCGAGACGCGTTGCTTTGTAAAGACTAAAGGTCAGTTTTATATTATTGGATATTGTAACGTGAGAGCACATGTGCCGCATCATTGTAACTTCTGTATTGTTAGCCAGTCACAGCTGAAAGATCAATACAATAAAAATAAATATAGATAAATGTATAATGTTATGAGATTTAAGCTATTTAGTCTAAATAGCTATGTTTTCATGGGGCAACAAAACCGAAGATTAAGAATTCTTTCTGTTTCTTTTGAAATAAAAGAATTAAAATATAGCTAATATAAAACATTGAATTACAACATACATCATAATGCTAATTTCATTGACATACATTGATTGTAAAGTTGCTCAATTAAATTTTGAATGTAACTCAGAAAAATCTCACAACGTGCAGAAAGAGGAGAGTAAGCTTAGGGTTAACGTGATAACACTTTTTGATCATCTGTCTAGCAACTGTGCAGATTTAAGAGGAATACCACTTAAATTTGCATTAGTAAAAAAATGAAGAAAAACCAGAATCTAATAACACAGTCATCTTTTAACCATGGATACAAACCACCCTTTATCATCCCTCAAAGACCCTATTCACACCCTGACATTCTAGTTACTCATAACATATCTATAAAAATCCTTACAGTAAATTTTTACATTTCAAGTCATACTTTTCTCATATACCCTTTTTGATTTCTTAATTTTTTGTTTGACCATCTCATTCTTATATAATCCTCTACTCTCTCACCATAGCAGTCAATTTAAACTTTATGATACTTAAATTTATACCTTACATCCTTTGTAAGCCAACCTGGTGTTTCTTCTTGACCCCACCCCTTTTCTATCTCTAAGAATCACATACATCTTGAATACTTTGAAGTTTATTTTTTAGAAAATTGTCCATATATTCAGTGTTTTTTGTTCAATGCACAACAGATAATTTGTTTTTTTTGAAAACTGTAACCAAAAACTATTTGTAACTTCCATAAGCAGTAAATGATCAGTTGTACCAAGATGTTCTCCAATCTCCACCCTATCAACCACTTCTGTATTAAAAGTTAACAGTAATTCTAAAATAGCATTATTCCTAGTAGGTTTCATAACAAGTTGGGGAAGAAAAACATACTTAACTGTTCTAAAAGCCTGTCTACCTGATGGTTTGACTAATTTTCCAATCTATATGCCTGAAATTAAAATTCACCATAATTATGACCTTATTCACAGATGAAACCTTAATCTCACTGTAGTTTCTCATTGATCTTATCACTTATTAGTTGGTCTCCAACAGATTCCCATTAAAAGCCTTATCCCCCTATCCCCTTCTTGCTATTATATTTGATATCAACTTCAATAGGATGTAACTCACATTTTACACATAAAGCTATTACTCCCCTCTCTTTAGTACTCTATCCCTGTTAAATAACCTATAACCCTGCATTTCAAAGAAACTTCTGTCATCAAAAGTGTCTACATTTAACCAAGTTTCAGTTATTCCTTCCCAATATATCAAAATCCTCTGTTCCAACCAGTGTTCTAAAGCCACAGATTTCTTATATGTCTAGTACTACAATAGGAACAACTTAGCCTACCAAAAGAATTGCTTTTAAACTTTGTTCCTAAACTACACTTTTTCTCTACATCTTGGTTTTCCTCCATTTAACTTATACTTGTCTTCACTACCATCAGGTCCTAGTTTAATGCTGTCCTTAGAACAGAGTTAATAGCCCTGTCAAACAAACCAGACCGTCTCATTTAAATATAAACCATCCATCCCAAAAAATGCTTCCATAAGAATAACTAGTCAATCTGTTCATCCTTACATATTTAAGCCTAGCATTCAGCCCTCGTAACACTTATAACTTCATCCTCACAATCAAGTACCAGCACTGTCTAGTGTTTATAAGGGGTTCTAAAATACACATGTAAAATTTAATTTCCAATTAAAATTGGTATTATTATTAACTACTAGAACTGAACTATTAATGGAATTTGATAATTGATTAATCAACAACCTCATTAACTAATTACACTCATCAAATCAAATATTCTAACAAGGCTTTGATAGTTGAAAGAAGGAACTAAGCTACAAATAGGTTAAAAATCCTGTTAGCACTTCAGAGTTCAACAATAATAATCACAAACCATAGGAGGAAAACTGTCTACAATTGCATGCAAAAAAAAAAATCATCAGTACATTTTTCTATTGGTTACAAACAGGTTATAAAAGGACAAAGCTAAGACAAAATTGGAGGTTTAAATTTTACAATCTGGCCTGTCAGCATCTATAATTTGAGTTTAGGATTAATTGGATTCTTTGAAAGTGTTAAAAGGGAACATAGAAAAATATAATAAAGAAAATGAGAAGGAAGATGCAAGTAACAAAGACAATTAAGAACTTACTGAACATTTCCTTTTGAAACTGAGATATTAAAACTTGGATAAAACTTTGAATTATAAATTACAATTTAATGCCAAATTTATTAATAAACATCGATAAGAAAATTTGTTTAGTTCTATATTTAATGCAACACTGTAAACATGTCATGAAGTTTAATCTAGCCATGGGCAAAGGGCTGAGGCCCAAATTTTTTTCCAAAAATTTATATAAAGCCTAATAGATTTTAAACTTGTGTACAAACATTTAAATGTTTAAAAAAATTTTCATTCCCAAAATATTTCTAAACGTAACTACTTGTACAAAAAAAATCCCATTAGGTAAAAGTATCTTCAAAACAAATTTTATTTTAAATTGTAACTTTAAATTACATATTTAATGAAGTACTTCGTGCAACAGCAAAGCTTAATAAGTTGTTAAACAGTGACTTATAAGCATAATGAAGATATATTTTGGGGAACATACATTTCAACCTAAATTTGGTCCGTCTTCTTCAGGTACAATCAGCAGACAGACAAATTTTCTGTTGAAACACGTAGTAAGTTCCCTCAAAAATAAACCACTTCATTGTGTTTATAAATCGTTGTTTACTAAATTATTATTAACATAATATACTTCTATAAAGAAATACCAATAAAGCAAATTTTCTGAAAACGTGCTGCCATCTAGGATCATTAAATTTAACTCCATAATTAACTATACCGAATACCCGATTTTACTTTTTAAATTTGAACACTTTCAATTACTAGACATACATGTTGTTATTCAATTATTTCTGTTACTTAATCATTTGATATAAGAAATTTTGCCAAGCACAAAACACTAACAAATTTTAGGCCTACGCTATACGCTCCTTATAGTTATTCAGCAATGGCACAAAAGTGAACTATTCCAATTACGCATTACATAAAACTTTAACCGCAAGGATCGCTGTCGACTCTATGAATAAGTCAATTAATAAAGGGGAAAACGCTGTATTACTCATTCCTTCTTAAGCCTAACTGGTGAATTCAAGTACTAACTACTAGTATTATTACCATTAATATTACCAAGTGTATGTTTACCCAAGATGACAAGAGAATAAATTAAAATATTAAAAATGTCACAATTTTATGAAACTTATTTGACGAATGTTTTACTTTTACTTTTATACAAGCTTCACTTTACAGTCAGCTTTAAAAATTATAGTCACAATATATTTCTACGCCGGTACAGACAGTCATTAACATTAAACACTAACATTAGAAATACAACAACATATAAACTTTACATTATTTGCATATTAAACTTTAATGTTTAAATTTCGTTTTATAAATAATTTCGCTAAATAAAATAAAAATACCATGTTTGATTATTCAACTTCCTTTACAGCGTTATAGCATATACCCTTGTTCAAATAACTTCTCGATTCGCTCAACAACAATGATGCCACTCTTCCAACGTACTCTAATCAGAATGTATCAATACGCGTTCTTATTTGAGGAGACCCTAGGTCTTGGATTGGTTGCTATTACTCCTATTGTTAATTTTGCAAATATTTTCGTAATTTCACAAAGTTATTTTAATAACTGTATAATTAATAACAAGAAATATACCATAATTTTGGGCTCTAATTTATTCTAAAATTAATTGTGTTTATTTTTAGCTTTTTAAGTAAAGAATTATATTTTATATCGAATAAATATTCTATATGATGAATCAGCTTGCTGCTTCTACAACAGCCGAGCAATGACACATGAACAACTAAGTCTGACTCAGTCACGTGTAATTGCGGTACTTGTTATTTTTTGAAAGAGTACTATCAAAAATGAAGAAATATGGGAAAACATTATAATTTGTAAAACAACATAATATGCTGAACTATAGAAATACGCAATTTGGTTATCTATCAAATCTGTTGTTATGTATGATTTAAGCATAGAAAAATAAAACAAATTTAAGAAGAAAAAGTAGATATAGCTTATAATGTATATTAAAAATAGAGCATGGGACTAAACCTGGCAAAAGTGTGTATAAATATAGAGTAAAACAATAATGTTTATTTTATGATTTACGTTGTATTAAACATTGCGCATGTGTAGTTTAAATTACAAAAATATATCATTTATGAAAAATAAAAGTAACGCGATCCAAGATGGATGGAAAAGATATGAAAACATGAGACAATTAGAAAAAATCAAAATGAAAAACATACAAAAAAGGTTATCACTTCATTGTATAGGTCATTAACTAGGTCACATTAGGAGTATTGTGATTAGTCTTACCTTAGGAAAGACATTGACTTGTTGGTAAGGATTCAGAAGAAGGCTACAGAGATGATATCTGGGATGAAAAGGTTGTCATATTAGGATAGGTTAAGATTTCTGAATTTTTTTTTCTCTTGAAAAAAGTTAGAATTGAGATGTTTAAGATTGTCAATGGAATTGATAATGTTTATGCAAAATCTTTTTTTCGCAGGGTGGTTAGCCTTTGAATGAATTGCTTTCATATGTTTTGCATGCAGTTAACTTAAAGGAGTTTAAGGAAAGGCGTGCCAAATATTTGAATGACAAAGGTTGCCTTTGAATGTTTTATGTTATTTTAAACTTTAGTTTAGTGGAAGGGGCGGCCTAGATGGACCAACAGGTTCTTTGTTGTCTTTAAATTAAATGTATATATTTTCTGCCATGCCGAACATTTATAGCAGATAATGAAAATAAGTTGTAGAAATCTAGTGCTTAGCATATCGGGCTGCATATTGAAGGTCGAAGATTCTAGGCTGCGATATGCCTTTGAACACGCTCCATCTTTTTAGCTATGGGCGCGTTATAAAAGTGATGACTTCAGTATTCATATTCGGTTAAGAGTGGTCATGTAGATGGCGCCGCGGCAGCTACTTTTGACTATTTTCCCTTCCTATGGTCAGTAGCTTTGCGGTCACGAAGAATACCATCTTCTGAAGTGCATGGAGCTGCCATCTTAGCTACAGAAAGAAGTGCATCAACTCCAAGAGGATTTGGTGCCAACTCGGAAGGTCTTTGCGAGAGTTAGAAACATTATCTGCCAAACCACCAAAGTGAATCGTAAATCCAAGGCTGCATTGAAAGATTTGCTGTCGGGGTTCCTTTAAGTGATTAGCCTTGCCTTTCTATCAAAACTGTACATTTTAAAGTGAATTTTTCTCTCTCCCTCTCTCTTTATATGTATATATATATATACCACTTATAAAATCAATTTCTGCACAATAATTTAATTTATTACAGTGTATATATGTCTAGGATATATATATGTCTATATATCTAAGGATTTCATTTTCATGTAGAGTGTATATATGTATTGTGCTTGGACTAAATTTTATTGAGAGTCTTATGTGCTGTACATGTGTTAAGGTTTTTTAAGGTGCCTTGTAAATATTTATATTTGTATGTTTTTAAATCATATGTGGGGTAGTTTACATGTTGTTGTATTGTATATATATAAAGGATTTTTTGTGTGTGAATAATTTTGCTTGAGTGTACTTAGTTCAATTTAATTTTCAAATATATTTTTCTAAGTGTTTTCCTTATATAAAAGAGCTTACTACATGTATGTGAGGTTTTTATGGATTAAAGAGTATCAGTTTTCTTTCTGTAGTTAAAGGGTTATCTTAGGTAATTTGTTAGTGCTGATGTTGAAGGGTATTAGCCTGCTTAAGGGTTCGTGTTTCGTATTTTTTGATATATGTATGGTGTGATTATGTTTTTGTTATTTTTTCCTTATATATATATATATATTGTGTTAGATCACCCATTCCTAAAGTAGGTAGGTGATCTGTGTATTAAAGGGTATTTCTTGTATTAACGGTTTATTTAGGTAAAGGGTTATTTAATGTATGATGTTTTAGTTTTAAAGAATTGTTCATTTTATGTACCCTCTCTGCTTAATTTTTTTATTCATGTGTTGTTTTAAACTGTGTAGTCTATAAGATTACCACCTCATAAAGGGGGGGGGGGGTAGATTTTCTGTATTTGAAGAGTATTTTCTTTATTTTTGTATTTTTCTTTAATTTGTGAGCATGATGAGTTAGACCATCCCTTCCTTAAAGAGAATGTCAGTGCTTTGTTTTATATGATTGTTTTTGCTTGCATAATTAAGTTTTCTAAGATAAGTGGTTTTACTAGGGTAAGAGTTAATGATTTGGATTTCTTGAGTGCCATTCAATAGAATTTTGATCTGGTTTTTATTATTTTTTGTCAGTTTTAGAGATAGGGAAAGCTTTGTTGACCTGAAAAGAAAGGTGGGAAGGGGGGTGTACATGTAGTACGGGACTGTGTTGTGTATTTTCCAACCATTTAGATGAGGAAAGATTTTTTGTTAATATTGTATTTTTCATAGTTCTCTATTTGAACATAGTGAGGCGCTCAAGTAAATTACTTAACTTTCTCTTTCACTAGAAAGTGGGGTGAGTGTCTTCATAATTATGCAGTTAACCCATTTTTTTATATATATATATATACAGGAAATGACTGGTTATGTGGCCAGAGAAACAGTTGTTTTTCTTGTCAGCGAATTGGATAATAGCTAAGCACAGCGATGCTCCTTGCAGGCACAGGGAAGGCTCACTCGCTACCGTGCCGGACGCAGATTATTGATATTGTTACGACAGCGGAAGTCACGTGACTCTAGTAACACGTCATGAACTACTAGAAGGATCCTGTCCCTTCCTGAATGCTCGAGCGTTTACTAGATTTCGGTATTCTTTTATATATAAGACGGTCAAAACGTGACAGCAACAAGGTAATGTGTAATTGAACTGCGGACAGAGAGAGACGTATTGTTGAGTCGAGCACGTGAGACCTTCGTTGTGAATTATAGCGTTTGTTATAGCGTGACTGTGGAAATTAAGTGTATCGCTAAAGTTTCTTCGGAAGAAATTATACGGAAAATTAACTAACGAACGGAGGCGTAACAATATATTATAACTATAAGGCCAGTGTTGCTCTGTGAGCAGAAAGTTTTGTGTTCGTTTTCAGTATATTTGATTTATCCAGCAAAGGTCATGTAAATTTCTGCTGAGTTTTCTTTATTTTTAACTTTCACAAGAACACTAAAGCTTTAGCACAACATAGGAGTTTCATCTTAAGCAAATTCTTAGTGTATTTCATTTTGTTTTTAATGTAGCTTAAGACAGATTCCAGTATATGAGGAAGCTGGAGTCAGGCTGCTAAATAAAAGTTCAGTGAACTACAAAAGCAGCTTCGATTCCGCAGTTGACTACTTTGTTTTTCATTTAATTGTGAGAGTTATTTTTAGTGTTTTGTTTTAGTTTAAATTACACGTGGGAAACATACGAACTAACAAGAGCTTATTAAAATTAAAGTCTTTATTTACTTTTATCAGTTTAACACACAACACCGATCACTAGCCATTTCTTATTGTTCTGTTTTTATTTACTTAATTAGATATTTGTGTAACTGAGTCTTGTCACTTTTCTTGTGCATCGCACTCAGTCGCAGATCCGGGAGAAATAAACGTCAATGCCCGATATCCTAGAGCCTCCCGTTAGTCAACTTAACTATCTACTCTCAGGTACAACAGCGAGCCGCAAAATACTACAATATTTTGACGCTCCGTTTTTGGAGCTCTACAACGAGAAATAATTATTCTATATCACTAATGAAAATTTGAACAATATATCTTGTGGTATCATACGGATTAACTGCAGAGAAGAAGTTTGGTCTACTAACAACAGGAAGTTTTCAGATATTGGGCTTTAGGGCATGTTTCCCTTAATGTTGCAACTATATATCGCGAGTGGAAAAGACAAGACCACGATCCATACAAATATTAAT